TTCACACCAATAACGATAACTATATTCGCGTTCACAACAAAAACAAAAAATATATTCACGTTCACACCAATAACGATAACTATATTCGCGTTCACAACAAAAACAAAAAATATATTCACGTTCACACCAATAACGATAACTATATTCGCGTTCACAACAAAAACAAAAAATATATTCACGTTCACACCAATAACGATAACTATATTCGCGTTCACAACAAAAACAAAAAATATATTCACGTTCACACCAATAACGATAACTATATTCGCGTTCACAACAAAAACAAAAAATATATTCACGTTCACACCAATAACGATAACTATATTCGCGTTCACAACAAAAACAAAAAATATATTCACGTTCACACCAATAACGATAACTATATTAACGTTCACACCAATAACAATAACTATATTAGCCTTCACACCAATAACGATTATATTAGGTTATAACGATAACTAGATAACTATAACGATAACTATATTTGCATCCATACCAAAGGACAATATTTTAATCGTGCACTGTAGTTTTGTCATCTTTAGTTTTAAAAATGCTTGAGCTTTTTAAAGTTGGATGGATTCAGGTTGGCTTTAAATTTTTAGCGTTCATAAGCTGGAAAAAATAGTTTGGAAAGTGATTCCAACGATATTGTACCTCTGTGTTGTTATGGTTATAATTGCAGTGCAGACTTCCCTATTCTTACAGAATTAGAATAATTATTAAAAAGTTATAAGAGTTACAGTTATGGCCTTTAATGTGAACAGGCCTTTAATTTTGTGTGGAATAAAGTTAATCAACAAATCTGAATCTACCGCAGTTCTGTTCGCCAATCCGATCAGAGTGGGTTTTGAGAAAGATCTTGCCATTTCTGAGCGTGTGTCTGAGACTACAGCATTATTAATAATAAAGCAGCACGTGCCTCTGTCCTGTCACATCAAATGAAAGTTTGATGCCTTCAGCTGTGCTCTTACATAATGATCACGTGTCGCTCAGTCTTTGTTCATAAACTCCATGAGCACAGAATCATCTGATGCACCTGCAGTATTTATGACACTCGACGAATCTGCAAACACCCATCAGGAATTAAAACACTGCATGTGAACTACACAATCCATTAACTCTTCATGAGAACCTCTTGCCTTTTTCTCATCTACTGATTCTTTTCTCCAAAATGCATCTTTATCTAATCACTGATGTCTCAATATGTTTATTCATATTTAATGTATAAATAAACGTACATATACATAAACTAGAGTTCAAAAGAATGTAATGTTTTAATGTTTCTGAAAGTCTCTTCTGCTCAGAAAGGCTGCATTTGATTGATCAAAAATAAGTGTTAAAATAAGTGTTTTCTATGTGAATATGTGTTAAACTGTAATTTATTCCTGTGATGCGCAGCTGAATTTTCAGCATCATTACTCCAGTCTTCAGTGTCACATGATCTTCAGAAATCATTCTAATATGCTGATTTGCTGCTCAAGAAACATTTCTGATTATTATCAATGTTGAAAACAGCTGCGCTGCCCAATATTTTTGTGGAAACTGGCATGTTTTATTTTTCAGGATTCACAGATTCATTTATTAGAAATAGAAATCTTTTGTAATTTTATAAATGTCTTTACTGTCAACTTTGATCAATTTAATGCATCCTTGCTGAATAAAAGTATGAATAAAAAAAACTAATAAATAAACAAAAATATTAATATTAAAATTAATATTAAATTTTGAAAATAATAAATAAAAACAAAAATATTTTAAATATATATTTAAATATTTATTTATATATTAAATATTACATATATAATTTATAACATATAAATAAATAAATAAATAAATAAATATATAAATATAGGCCTGTATATAGTGGTGTGAAAAAGTGTTGGTCCTATATATATAATAAAATATTAAATATTTATATAAATATATAAGTGGCCTGTAATAAATTAACTAATATATCTATTTTAAAACAATACGTTACATTAGACTTATGGGACAATAAAATCATAAATCATCAAGTTGGATACTATACTAGTTTACTAGACACACAAGTCAGAAACGTCTTGTGCTGCAAACCTTATCTTAATGATCTGCCCTTCGTCTGAGATTAAATAATCGATCTGAGCCCCTAGACGAGGAGAAGAATAAATAAATAATCAAAATAAAATCGCGGACGTACCGAACAAGCGTCGATGGAACAGGAACTTGCCGGCGATGAGGCCCGTGATGATGGCGAGGATCCACATCAGGACCTTGAGGACGTCCCATCCTCCTCCGGGATATTTATTCACCACGAACGAGAAGCAGTTTCCCACCACGATCATGTGCGCTTGCGTCTGGCTGTGCGACACCGGGTCCTCGGCGAAGATCAGGAAGTTGAAGAAGGTGACCAGGTAGGCCACCACCAGACGAGACCAGGGGTGCTGGAAGTAATAGCGGAAGCGGCCGCTGATCTCCATCCGTCTGAGGACACCCAGACACCGTCCGCCTGAAACACAGCACAGAGACGTTTAAACCATTCATGGCTTGATCAATCATTAGTCACTCGCCCTCATGTTCCTCCAAACCCGTAGGACATTCTTTTTGCAGTGGAACACAGAAAAAGAGACACTTTATGGTACTTTTTACAGTGTATTTTTCCTGCTCACTGTTCGTTTTCAGTGTATGTTAAAGAGCAGCGTGAACATTTGTTGAATCGTCTTATTTTGTGCTCCTCAGAAGGAAGTTCAGGGGACTGAATCTTAATTTTTGGATGAAGTTTTTTTTTTTTTTTTTAAGTTTTAATTTGGATGAATTATTACACAATTCTGACTTTTTTCCTCACAATTACAAGTTTATATCACACAATTCTGAGAAAAGAAGTCAGATAAATTGTTGCAATTAACTTTTAAATGTTTTTATTTAGTGCCAGAAACAGGCATCCTGTTATATATATATATATAATTTAAAAAACTTATTTTATTTTGTCTAGTTGTCAAAGCAATATTTCTCATTTTCATGTATTTCAAAATATCAATAAATGAATAAAGTAGACATTTAAAACTAATACAAAATAAACACACACAACAAAATTACTTAACTAAATTTAAAGTGAAAATAGAAATGATGAAATTAAAACCTGATATTTCTTATTAAAAAATATCGGGTCACAAAGCAAAAAGTCTACACACTAAGAAAACTCAGCAAAAACAGGGCTCAATGCATTGTGTTATTATGGAATTGATTTTTAAAAAGGAATTGATTTCAAGTGTTTTATCTGACTTATGCATATTTGGAATTGTGCATTGCATTGGTTGTAAATATCCATAAAATCATCAGTACCTTTCCTGTTATTTTTCTATAGTGTATTTTTAGGAGCATTAACATTTCTGCAGTTCTTTCTTTTGATCGTGTTGTGAAATATGACCTGCATCTGATTCAAATGAAAATAGTCTGGAATGATAGAAACCAGGAGTTCATTAAATCTGGACTAGATCTGAAAGACAGGCATGTCACACAAACACACTAATGTTCACAGCAACGGCCCGAAATATCTGACATGAGCATGTGTGATGACGCAAGCGTTCTGGAATAACCCACTGCTCAGAAACAATGTGCTGCTGGACCCATTTAACCTGTGTGTGTGTCATCTCTGTCCTGGAGTCAAGGGCTGAGCGAGTGTGTGTGTGAGTGTGTGTGTGAATGTGTGTGTGTGTGTGTGTGAATGTGTGTGTGTGTGAGTGAGTGTGTGTGTGTGAGTGTGAGAGAGAGAGAGAGAGAGACCATGTTTTGACCAAATGTCCCGACATACAGAGGGAAACCTGAAATCACCCAGATACAACAGATGTTATTATAATGTCTAAATATATATATATAGTATATATATACAGTATATTGTGCCCTATTTTTAGATTTTTACAGTGTATATAAAAATCAATATTTTGTAATGATTTATTTATATTTACTTAATTTTATTATTTATTAATCATTTATATATATATATATACATACAATATATATATATTAGTTGAAGTGATAAAATATATTTAACTATATAGACCTTTTTAAGGTAAAATCACTAAACTATTAAAATTACAAAAACTTTAGCTTAAATTAAACAGAAACTATAATATAAATATACATATATTTATATAATATAAAACAACAAAATCTATAAATTAATGATACTAAAATAACACTTTATCTAAATCAGATAAAACATAATTCAAGTAGCCTAATCCAAGTCAAAATTCACAACACAGTCTAAACAAAGAATAGCAAAAATGTTTTTATGTAAATATTTTATGTGAATATTAATTGAATTTAATGTTTTATCTGGAATCTGACCTGGATATTTTTAGGAATTTCATCCAGTAACATTTATTATTTTGGCCTGAGCTTGTGAAGATAGTTATTCAGATTCAGACAGTTTTAATATACATAGAGAGATAGAAAAACTCACCATAGGCTACAAATACATCTATCTATCTATCTATCTATCTATCTATCTATCTATCTATCGTGTTTACATCCATGGCTTCCACACTGAAACTCTTCCCTTTAACGATCACGTCAAAATAATCAATCTCAGCAACAAATAAGCACACATGATATCACCGCATGACGCACGCATGTAACGCACGCGATGAATGAATCAGTCAGCGCGTCAGCCGATGTTTGCTGATGATCGGAAATTAGAAACTGTTTAAACGCCTCGTGCGTCCGGATCAGAGCGCGCTATTCCAGCATGTTCCACACACACACACACACACACACACACACACACGCGCGCGGATAACAGATGTGAA